ATGCCATGCGCGATGCCCACTGGTCAGTCCCGGTTACCACAAGCGGAATCCCCTCGAGTCGTTCCACACCAGAGCCAGTCACCCCAGTGAAGCCCGACTCCAATCGCTGGACCCTGGGGAATCCAATCAATGGGCGCCAGGTGGCTAAGATCCTCAAAGATGGCACACGCCTCTGCCAGGCGTTCCAACATGGCCAGTGCAAGGCCAAAGCCAACTGTGCCAATGGCCAGCACCGTTGTGGGTTGGTCCTGCGCAAAGAGCGCGCCTGTGGCGCCCCGGGGCACGGCGCTGCCGCCTGTCGGGGCGGGAAGAAGTGATGGGGCCCCGAGGGGGAGGATGGGACGGACTCCCCCTTAGGGGACATCGATGCTCCCCGTCCCTTGGTTGCTGACCTGTTCTGTGGGCCCAACCTGCCACTATCCAAGGCTTTCCTTTGGCGCGGGTGGCGCACCCTGTCAGTCGACTGGATGTTGGACAAGTCTCACGACCTTTCTAATCCACTACGCCAGCAGTCCCTACATGAGCAGCTCTCGGAGGTTGACTTCATATGCGCAGCTTTTGACTGCTCTACCAAGAGTCGGGCCAGGGAAATTCCTCGTCGGTTTGAAGACGGCCGCCCATGTCCAGCACCGTTGCGCTCTGAGGAACATCCAGATGGACTACCGACTCTGCAGGGTCGTGACCTTCAGCGAGTTCGCACGGACAACCAGGCCTGTGAGTTCATCCTCGAGGAGATTCGTCTGCTCGCCGAGCGTGGCGGCGGGTCAGTCCGTGAGAATCCCTGGCGTAGCCTACATTGGTGGGGGTCCACCGAGCGCGCTATGATGGCCACTGGCCGCTGGAAAGACAAGCGGTATGATGCATGCTGTCTGGGGGGAGCTCGTTGCAAGGCGCAGTGCTTGCGTCACAACATTCATGAGATTGAGCAATGGCCGCCGCTTACCTGCCACCATTCTCATGCGCCACACGAATGGACTCCTTACCTTCAGGATGGCCAGACAATCTACCCATCCAAAGAGGAGGCCGAGTACACAGCTGTCTTGGCCTTTGCTATTGCGGTCGCAGCCTCGTGGTGGGCCGGGCGCGTGGGTCGCGCTAAACTGCATGTGCCACGGCTGCCGCAATTCGAGTGTGTCGGAGCCCGTGAACATTGGCTAGATCTGGATCCCCGGGCACTCAGGGAATGGGCGATGGCGCCGCTTGCCCTGGGCATTGGCTTGTATCCCCCAGATCCCAGTGAGGCCGCCCGAGTCCCTCGTCGAGCTCAGGTAGATGACGTCCTCATCGAGAAGGGCAAGTTGCCGCACGATCATGTCTACGTGGGCCAGGGCCGTGGTTCGCATCGTCTTGCCAAAACCAAGTGGGCCTCCCCAGTCATTCCTGGGCTGAACAGTCAGGCTAATGATTGGTTGTGGTACTATGTTGCCTACCTCTACGAGTCCGGGCTGGTGACCCAAGTGCAAGAGCTGCAAGGCAAAGTGCTGGTCTGCGACTGTCCTTTCTGCGACCCTTGTGAGGCTGATGTGCTTGCAGGCCTTTGTTTCGAGGCGAGCCATCCACAGGGCCGTCAGTCGATGCATCGCTTCAGTCGGGGGGGACCCCTCCAGCTCGCCAAGTTCTCCTCGCGAGTATGGCCAGCACGGTCCAGGGTATCCCAACGAGTCCAACACGTTGGTGGAGTTAAGCAGCCAAGAGGCCCTCGTTCTCGCCTTTCGCAAATTATATCCAGCTCACTTCTTCATGAATTTCCAGTTCCCCATGGTTGAGGACATCATCAACGCTGCCCCGTTCAATGCTTTCCCGGTGTGGCTGCACAATAGGCACTACGAGACTGATGGCCCCCTGGGCCCGCACCTGGCTGATGCCAACGTTCGCCAGACCCTCCGAACTGCCGAGGGCCAGCAAGTGGGCGCATTGACTCAGCGAGCAGCCCTACCCCCCTTGCTGTCTTATGATCTCAGTCCTGATGAACACTTCGCCCAAGCGCTGGCACGGGGTCGCGACTTGCTACCTACCGAGCTACCAGCCGTGCTGGACCTGGACCTGGCTTTTGCAGCCGATTGCCACACTCAGTACCGAGGTCGTCTCCGAGACCTTCGCCGTGCCGCCGTGGGAGCACGGGAGCACTTCGAGAACTTCATCGGCGTTGGTGTGCAGTAGGACGCCATCTACGGCAGTTTCAACCTGTCGCCTTGCAGGCGACCACAGCCACCCGTGACCTCGGCTTTGTCGCGCTGTTGATCTTGCTGACGTCATGGCCTGATGTTACATATCCCTTTGGGCTCATCGAAGGCCTGCCGGCAGTCGGTTATGCACCCTGCTACGGCGTCTTTCCATCTCAGCCTGCCGAACGTATTACTCTTACAGAGGTCCTGGCCGGATGCGAAGCACACAACCATCAGATCTTGTCTACCCTCAAGCCGGGTAAAGATGACCTGTTCCTGTTGGAGCAGTCTACAAAGGACGCGGCACGAGGGTTCTGTACCCCTCCCTTGACGCTGGCACAGTTGCGTCAGCAGCTGCAGGGGCAGCCGTACCGCCTGATCCCACGCTGTGTGATCACACAGTCTTCAGGCAAGCAGCGGATCATCGACAACGCTGATGCAGGAGGACAAACCTTACGCTCGGCCGATGCCAACAAGTTGGTGCTTTGCTCACCACTACGACCGGCTCAGCACATTAGCCAAGTCCTGCGTCAGATGAGCCCCTCCGAGCGAGCCCAGGCAGCCGCCACCGATACCTGGGAGACAGGTGGAGAAGACTGGCCGGATGCCTATCGCCACAGCCCAATGGGAGCCAACGAAACGACGTTTTGGCATCATGAATGGGCTGCTCCGGCTTTTCAAGTCTACGCCGGTCTACTATTTGGTCTTCCACTGGCCGTTACATCCTTCAATCGGCACAGCCGTCTTGTAGAGGCCCTGGGACGCCGCCTGTGCTATGTCCTGGTTTCGCTTTACTTTGATGATGCATCTATTCAGGACTGGTCTTCGAGCCGGGGTTCGGCTCAATGGGCATTTGGAGCCTTGAATCAGCTTCTGGGCACCCCTTTTGCAGCAGAGAAACGCCAGGCTATGCGCCCCAAGGGGTTGTTTCTAGGCCTTGACCATGACCTTTCGTCCGCACTATCTGGTGGCTTTGTCTCCTTTTGGGCGAGGGAACGCCTGGAAACCAAGTTGAAGGCCATTATCCATGAATGCCGTGCAACTCAAACTCTCAAGCCCGGTGTTGCAGCTAAGCTGTACGGACTGGCTAACTTCTTCGAGCAGGGCGTCTACGGCAGGATAGGATGTGGAGGTCTCCATGCCATTAAGGAGCGTCAGCTTGTCCGAGGTGATCAACTGACTCCTGCTATCGAACAATGCTTTCAAATTCTCGAAGCAGTGCTCTCTATCCATCCGGAGCGTGAACTTGATGTCTGGCCGAGACACCATGAGCGCTTTGTGGCAGCGTCTGACGCTGCATTGGAGACCCCCGGTGAAGGGACAGGTGGTTTTCTCCTCGTCTTCTTCCACGAGGACACCGAGAGCCGGCTTGGATTTGTTTCCTATCTCCCACCGTCCATCTACGTTCTTTGGACCCCAGGAGAGGCTAAGATCGCACAACTAGAACTTTTGCAGGTCCTCATGGCATTGACTACCACACCTGAGCGATTTCGCAATCGCCGTGGCACATGGTACATAGACAACACTGCTGCCTTGATGGCGCTCATCAAGGGAAGGTCAGACAGCCCTGACCTCGAGCACATGAGTCATATGATTCACATTCTATTGTTTTCACTTAGATGTTGGATTTACTTTGAGTGGATCCCCTCCAAATCCAATTGGAGTGACGCCATTTCCCGTGAGGGACATGCGGATCGTTGGCACCACGACCAGGGTTTCACTAGTCGGGAAGCCACATTTTTCGAACCACTCTGGTATTTTCCCTTTTCCGTCACTCTGCGAGTCGGTCTCTTTCTTTGAAGTGCGTTGGGAGAAATGCATTGGGTAGATACATCGCTATGGATACGTCTGGGTGGACGAGTCTCCA